TTGGCTTGAAGCCAAGAGCGCACTCGCTGCTGGATATTATGATGTAAGAGATAACACAACGTCATTCAGCAGAAAAATAGAGAGAAATGCATACCTTTCTCAAATTCCTTGGCGAGCTCCACCTGTTAACCCCCATGATTTCAGTCTCCTACTCGCCTTAGCTACAGCAGTCCTGAACCATGAGGCACAGATGATTGTCCCAATTCCCTCAAGAAAAGGGACAAACAACAGCAGAGTTTCTTCAGCAGCCATATCACCCTGCAGCCCAAGACTGATCTCCCACTGAAGCTAAGCAGGGTTGAGCCTGGTCAGTACCTGGATGGGAGACCTCCTGGGAAAACTAGGTTGCTGCTGGAAGAGGTGTTAGTGAGGCCAGCAGGGGGCGCTCACCCTGTGGTCTGTGTGGGTCCTAACGCCCCAGTGTAGTGACGGGGACACTATACTGACAAAAAGCACCGTCTTTCCGATGAGACGTTAATCTGAGGTCCTGACTCTTTGTGGTCATTAAAAATCCCAGGATGTCCTTCGAAAAAGAGTAGGGGTGTAACCCCGGCATCCTGGCCAAATTCGCCCATTGGCCTCTGACCATCATGGCCTCCTAACAATCCCCATATCTACTGATTGGCTTCATCACTCTGTCTCCTCTCCACCAATAAGCTGGTGTGTGGTGGGCGTTCTGGCGCAATATGGCTGCCGTCACATCATCCAGATGGATGCTGCACACTGCTGCGCTTTGAGTGCCTAGAAAAGTGCTATATAAATGTAAGGAAGTGTTATTATTATTATTCATAGAGACATTCACAATGCTTGCGATATTTATGTGTTATTTGCCTGGGCAAAGAATATGCAAACTCAGTCCTTGAGGGGGCTGATTGCAATAAGCTGTGTGTCATCAGGTGTCAGATAACACTGACACAGATGGACACACTTCCTAAAATGCTTTGCACTTGAGCCAGCCATAACTGCTTTAGACATGCATGAACAAAGAGATGAGACAGTCGCACCAGCAGTGACGTCATGCTGTTGCCAGCCAGTATCAAGTTCACTGTTGCATTTACTTTCGTGTCCTCTTGAGGATGCAGTGTGAATTCCAATTTGAAAAAGAAGTGACACACTACAAATTATTTGAATGGAGGACACAATGAAAAAACTATCAGGAATGATTCTATAATTTTTGATTTATACTCACATTTTGATCTCTTGCATTTCCCATGTATTTCCGACCTCTGTAAGGACTCTAAAGATGAAGAAAATTATCAATCAATTATAATGGAACAGTTTACAAATCTTAATCAGACTTGATTGTCTGCAAACATTTTAATGTACAAAAAGAGTGGGCATGGAGTTTAGTCTACAGATCATAAAAGTGATTTGAATTGTACTGTATCTCAAAAATTACCCTCTTTGTGATACAATTTTCCATAATTTCCCTGTTGAAAAACCAGCATATGCTGGTTAGTATGTTTTGAAGCATGGCAACTGGTTTGAGCTGGTCCTTAGCTGGTCCTAAGCTGGTCCCAAGCAATTAGCTCTTGCTCAGGACCAGCTCATAACCAGCAGCCACGCTTCAAAACATACCTAACCAGCATATGCTGGTTTTTTCAACATGGTTGCCAATTGTTAATCCTACCCATGTTTCAGATGAACTGGAGGTAAAGATTTACCCAGGTGTTTCCACAGGAGACTTTAACATCTGCGTGTGACCCCAGCATCACTATTCTCAGGTCTTCTTTAAACACAGACACTGAAATTAAAGTTTTGTTTAAACCGATTATAATAGCCACTCAGAGACTTATCATTTGAAGGAGATGTGTGGTTTTTCAGTATCTGACTTAAAGGCAGTAATGTGAAACAACAATGCTGAAGCTTTGAATACAGTATTGCTGTTGGCCGGATCTCAAAAGAAATAGAAACTATGCATTATACAAAGAACCAATGTAATCAAGAGATATCAAAAAATCAAAATATTCCAAGATAGTTAAGATACTCCCTTTAATCAAGAATGTAATTATAGTTGTTCTTATTCAAGGGCAAAACCATCATTAAAAGTGAGAGCCTTTGAAGTTTTAATAATGAGAAACATCAGTTCATTTAATATCCCATCTTTTCTATAGCATCTATTATTTATTTTAAATGTAAAACTCACTGCTCGGAGGTTCATATATGCTTCCTCTTCTATTGAACTGATATTCCCCTGTTACAAAAGAATAAACATTAAGTTAAAATCATTTAAAAATAATGCTGGTTAAATGTACAGAAATGTCTTTCTGTAATGTGCTGTAAGTTATTTCATCTCTGAATACAATGCTATTTCGAATCCACATGCCTTATGTGTTCAAAGAACTGCATTATTTCATAGAATTGACAAAAGTCTCACCAGGTTGTCTGGATGATCCGCTCCAGTCAGCCATCTTCACACAAATGTAAATTTTGTACACTGAACCACTTCAGAAAGTAAGAAACAAAATGTGTTGCAGCCGTCCTTGCATTAATGTATGCGTGTTATATCAAATGTTGTGTATTATTAACTCAGAAACTGGTTGGACTTGATGTTTGTTTCACATTCCATACAACTCCCTGCATTATGATACTACCAGAGTGATCTGTCAAAGGACTGGCCGTGTCTCCTTTGAATGTCATGGGGAAATGCATTGCTTTTTACTTTTCTGTGTGTTACTTGCCTGACGACAGAGTGTCACTCTGTTCAAATACTTTCTTCATAACTCTGACACCACATGCCAGTTGTCTAAATTTGCATTTGACCTTCCACATTCGCAGCAGCCCTCTTAACTCTCCCTCTGACAGTCTGGCATTCAATGTGGGACGTGATCAGACAAACATCACCTGGAAAAGTGCAATATGGAGAGAAGTGTGATATAAAAAGCTGCTTTGAAGCTGAGATTGAAATGTTATTATTACCACAAACCTTCACATAGGATTATTTCAGTAATTGCCCTAATGTGTCAGGGTGAAATTACACAGCAAACTTCAGTGGGCCAGAGAGTGAGGGCAAAAATGTTCTGTTACTAATGTACTATGTATTAATGTTACTAATGTAACCTCGGTTTCCTGAGATAAGGGAAAAAGCTTTGCATGGGGAAACTCCCGTGTACTCTCGCATGCAGCCTTATAACATGGCAGGCTATGCAATGCTTCTTCCCTTGTCTCAGGGAACCGAGGTTATGTTAGTAACCAGAGCGTTCCCTATTGAACGGTCTCTCTTGATGCGTTGCTACGCATATGGGGAACGCATCCAATAGTGCCGTGCTGTAAGCAAGTGCAGAACTAAACCACACTGCGAGCCCAGCCCTGGAGCACCCATAATGAGGGCTCCTAAGAAGCATGTGCCAATTATGAGATCCAAGCCAACAGGCTGGGGTCTACATAACAAGAAAGACCTTCCTTCGAGCTAGGAAGAGCCAGAAGGGTGATAACTTAGTTCCAGAAGTAGGGTAGTCTTAAGCGACAGGGGCCGTAAGTCGGCCGACTGGAGCGGCTCAAAGGGAGGCCCTCATAGGGCAATAATGACTATGGATAAGTTTCATGTCGGAACAGTGTGAGGATGAGGTGGGTTTAGCCTCCAAGCTCCCCTCAAGAACTTAGCGTCCAGGTTGTTTTTGCCGACTGACTGGCCAGCCAGAAGAGTGTGATTCTCCGCAATGGCTGCCACATAGACTTTGAGCATGGAAGGGGTGCGCCCCTTATACAGCAGCTCTTGCAGAAACAGTGGCAAACCGTGCCGAGCCGAACCGTGCCATGCCGTACTGAGCCGTGCCGAGCCGTACCACGCAGTGGAAAAGCGCCATTAGTTCCAGAAGTAGGGTAGTCTTAAGCGACAGGGGCCGTAAGTTGGCCGACTGGAGCGGCTCAAAGGGAGGCCCTCATAGGGCCATAATGACTATGGATAAGTTTCATGTCGGCACAGTGTGAGGACGAGGTGGGTTTAGCCTCCAAGCTCCCCTCAAGAACTTAGCGTCCAGGTTGTTTTTGCCAACTGACTGGCCAGCCAGAAGAGTGTGATTCATCGCAATGGCTGCCACATAGACTTTGAGCATGGAAGGGGTGCGCCCCTTATACAGCAGCTCTTGCAGAAAGGTTTAGACGGATGACATGTCACAAGAGGATGGGTCTAGGATATTCGTCAAGACACGCATTTTGATGTAACTTTGTCTGCATTTGTTTATCCAAGCACAAAAAAAAGCTGAAGATAACTTAATTGAGGATTTGCGTGCTGTCTGATGCAGCTGTCTGTGTGTGCACAGCACTGCGCGCAGAAAACTTCTAGCGTCATCTTCTCACAGCGTCTTTTATGCTCACCTTGTGCCTTCAGACAATCCTAATATCAGTCCTGACAGGTGAGTTTGAACGAGAATGCACGCGTTGATGGTAACGCATAGACTGACATTGCGTGAAAATGTGGACAGTGCCAAAATAAGGTGCCTATTTATACTACGTTTCGATATTTTAAGCGTGGCATTGATAAATCGTATCGTTACACATTTGATCGATGTGAAGATGTTATAATTTGTTTTTTTTAATAAACTTTGAAAACATCCTTACACTTCGAGGCCGCCATTGTTGTTTGTGTGGCAGTACATCCTGCGTGATGACATCAAATGGTTGACACCCATTGTCTTGATGCTACAGCGCGATAAACATCTTTTCCATCTGAACCCGAGCGTAACAAACAAGGAGGATAACATAGGAAATAATACTCAAAATGTACATTAAATTGAAGACAATCAGGAAGGTAAGGAGGTGAGAGTGCGCAAAATCAATGGTGTCTGTGCAGCAGGTGCTAGTCTATGCCAACTGAGAGAAGAGGGAGGGAGCGTGTTTGTTGTTAAGAGCTCTTAATCTACTGTTCTCCTCAATGAGTATCGCTATGGTCTCTTGTAGCTGATCTCCATGAATGGAGTATTTTAACACCTCCTGACCAAACAACTGAAAAGTGTGCCGTCAAAGACTAAACAAACAGTTCTCATTATCTCCCGTCTTTAACTCTTCAGTTTTCATCTGTGTGTTAAAGAATCCAGGAGTATCAACTACAGACACTTTCCTGACTTTGTTTTTGTTGCTGTTTTCTCTCCTCTTTCTCTTTTGGTGTCCTCTCTTCTTCTCTGAGCATCTTCAAGCATCTGATTACTGTAGTGTCCTCCTCCATTCTGCTTTACAATTGTGTCAATCTTCTGCAGCAGATCATTCACCTGCTCTCTGTTATTCTGATCTCTGTTGTTGAAGACGTGAAATCTACCTCCACACTGATCAACTAAATCTCTTAATCGACTGCTCCACTTAATGATTTCCTCTATGGACACATCATCTAGCTGATCTCCATGAGTGAAGAGAATGATGGAGTATTTTAACACCTCCTGACCAAACATCATCTCAATCATCTGAATAATATGTAGCTCCTGCTCAGTGATCCTTGCATTTACATTAAACACAATGAGAAAAGCGTGCGGTCCAGGATTGGATAAATCAACACTTTTCATGATCTCTGTCATTGACTCTTCATGTGTCATCTCTGTGTCAAAGAATCCAGGAGCATCAACTACAGTCACAGATCTGTTTGAAACAGTGGTGTGAGCAGCTGAACATTCACGGGTTACTGATGATAAAGTCAATGCAGATGTGAACTCTTTCCGTCCCAGTATTGTGTTTCCAGCTGCACTTTTGCCAACACCACTTTTTCCCAGGAGCACTAATCGTCTTTCTGACACTGTAAGCGCTGCTTTGTTTACAGCGGTAACCAAGGAAACGCTGTGTTGCTGCTGTTCCATGAGGCCAACCAGTGTTGCCAACTTTGTGACTTTGTCGCTAGATTTATCAACTTTTAAGCCCCCTCTAGTGACTTTTTTTTTTTTTTTTCTCAAAAAAGCGCATAGCGACATCTTGGACAAACCTTCTTCATTTCTGAGACTCGCCGGTGCTGCTGCACGAGTGTGAGGTCTTGCTTTCCCAGCACGCACATGCCTCTCCCTGCGTCTGCTCTGTTCAGCAAGCGGCTGTGAGGAGCAGTGCTTTCAGTTAAAATAGATATTCTGTCGCTTCTAACTCTATTTTACATGCAAATATAGCCGAAATCATAGCACAGCCATTGTCTTTATCTTATGTGTATTTGATTTCATCAGACGACGACTCGACTATAAATCAGGATTTTTGTGCAGATTAACATCTTGGAAGGGAGAGCTGGTTATGTAGTCTTAATGGGCCGCGTTTCAGTCATTATTTCATGCATCCCACTGTCTGACAACAGAGAGAGAAAAATATATAAATGAAAACAGTTTTATCGCGGATTGGCTGCATTAAAATACAGTATGTGAGCACAGAGAGGCAAATAAATGTAAAAGGCATATATGACGCAATGATGTCATGAATATTCCAATTAACAAATGATGTCATCTAGCGACATTTAGCGACTTTTCATTGAAAGAAGTTGGCAACAACGAGGCCAATTCACACCGCACAGACAAATGCCAACACCAACAGACAAGTCTGTTGGCATCTGTTGGCGTTGGTCAGAGTTTGTTTTCACCCGACTGAACATGTTCAATCGGTGTTTGTTGGGTTGTGGAATGTCTGAGCAGTGTGAAATGATTTTCCAACAAATGACAACAAACTCTGACGAAATCTGAGCTGGCTACGAACCGTTGCTATGGCGATGAGGCAAGACTGCGAGTAGGTGATGTGTGCGCTTAGCAAATTATCCTAAAAATGGCAGGTTTCTGGACAAACCGAAACTGATTAGGGACCAAATGAGCAAAATTTTGAAAGCTTTGTAAATCTTCCCACTGCAGATATCTGCATAAATTCAAGTAGGGGGCCCGTCTTCCCCATAGCAGCAACGGCTTCACCCACAGCCTCTTTTGATTTATTCGTTTTATTTATTTCATTTTATTTATGTCTTTTCAGGTGAAGAATGACATGCAAATTCATTAACAACAGTAACATTTTGATTGTGGTAACAGGATCATCCATTTTCCCCCCCTGTCAGACTTACTTGACTCTCTCTGACTCGAAAGCTGTGTCCGAAATCGCTCACTTGTTCACTCATACACTAATCCTTATATAGTATATGGCAGTTGAGTGCACTTTATCAGAAAGAAGTAAATGAAATGAAGTGAACTGCGTCCTGGAGGGTAAAATAGCCTACATGTAAAATACACATTTTTGGCAGGGCTCCCCTGGTATATGGGGGCAGTCGTGCCCTAATGGTTAGAGAGTCGGACTTGTAACCAGAAAGTTGTGGGTTCGAGTCTCAGGTCCGGCAGGAATTGTAGGTGGGGGAGTGAATAACC